GGCTGCGGATGCTGCAGGTCGGGGGGTTTGCCCTTCTCTGCTGGAACCGAATTGTTTTGCTCTTCGCCTCTGCGGCTCCCGGTGCACTCGGATGGTCCAGGCCTGACCCTGCCCGTCCCCGCCTCTTCCCTTCCTCTGCGCTGCTCCCGGCGGTAATTCCATAATCCCGGGCCATCTGGGCACCTCCTCGTTCTCCTGCTCGGGCAGGTTTTAACTCTTGCAGAATCTGCTGGCAGGTGGGAGAATAACTGAAAGCCCAAGCTCAGCCGTGCACCCTCGGGGTGTCCGGCAAATACACATCAACAGGGCTGACTCGTAGGGAGTTAATTCTGAGCCCAAATCAACTGATTTGGTTGGAATTGCTTTGGTTTTTTTCTTTAATTTTTTTTTTTTAGTAACATTTTGAGGACATGAGGACACTTAGTTTGTGCATCAGAGGTCTGTGGTCACGTATCTGACCAGTGGCATCCCCTGTTTTTGCTCCTTACCCAGGAAAGAAGAGTATATCTTGGGCATTGTCCATCTCCATCAGGATGAGATCCAACCAGCAGCTCCTTTAGAGGACTGTAGTGGAAGGAGTCAGTGCAGAGAGCCCCAGACCCTTAAGGTGCTTGGTGGTTCTTTGTTTTCCATCACTTAGAAGCATCTGGGGTGCCAGCATCTGACTGCCAGTGTTGTCTATACAAAAAGGTGCTGATGACTTCTGTGGAGATGACCAGGGTGGTCAGTGGACAGGTGAAAAGATAACAGACATGAAGATCTTTCTTTTGATACGTAATTTTTGTTAGCCTGGAAGTGATGTTCATGAAATAGCAGCACTATGTTTTCTGTGTTTGAGAGTAACTCTTTTCATTAAACAGCAAACAAGGTTACATTTTCTTTAAACTTTTTTCCTTGCACATGTTGTATTGTATTATTTAAATGTGCCAAGTTTCTGCAAAAGTTTTTTTGGAGATTGTCTTTGAAAATTTGAATTAATATATTCTGAAATTCCTTCCAGGTTTTGGTAGAAGCTTGTCTCTGAAAGACTGGAAAGGAATAAAGGTCAGAACATTTAAATTTTATAAATTACATTGATAATTTTTCAGCTCAAATAAATAATTGTTAAAATACTGCAAATAATAGTGGAAATGTAAATTTCAGTGACTAGGAAATCAACCTAGTTAGAGCTGCCTGAGTGAGGCTGACGGGAGTCCCAGATGGTGGTTAGGAAATCAATTCTCCACGAACACAACATGCAAAGTGTTCCTGCACTAGTGAGCCTCAAGTAGTTCTAGTCCTAAAGGTTTTTAATTTGCGTTTGAAGTTGTGATTAAGACTAAATTCGTGTGACTGTGTGTGCTGTTTGGCAGTGGGCTCTGAACTGCTCATACATGGCTAAAAAACTGCTCTGAGAGAGTCAGGGACTGTCCGTGGTGCATTTCAAGTGGCATCTCACTGCATATTTGAGAAAGAAATACATTCTGTATTTTGTTAATTTATTTTTTAGAACACAATGACTACTTTGGATGATAAAATGCTTGGTGAGAAGCTCCAATATTACTACAGCAGTAGTGAGGGTGAGGATGAAGACAGTGACAAAGAAGATAAAGAAGAGGAGAGCACCATTCCTGAAGGTGTGGGGGAGGTGGAGCTGAGCAGCGATGGCAGTGCAGTCAACACAGGTATCGTGTCAAACTGGTTTGCAATTACTTTGTTTATTGGAAAATTCTTGTGTTTTTCTAAAATGCATTTTCATGGTTCTTCATTTTAGTATTTGGCTTCTCTTCTGAGAGGTTTCAGCATTGTATCTACAGCAGTTGGGCTTTGCTTGCAGAGCTGATTCCTGCGATTGGTAACACAAACATTTCTTTCCTGTAAAGCCACACTGTTGTTAACCACCAGCAGCCCCAAGGCAACAGGTGCAGGTGCTGAAAGAGTACATGAGGAACGGGCAGAACGTGTCCAGGTTCTCCTGAGGCAGCTGACACTGCTTGTGCCACAATTCTGTATTTCATTTCAGGTCCCAAAGGAGTCATCAACGACTGGCGGAGATACAAACAGCTGGAGACTGAGCAGCGGCAGGAGCAGCGCAGGGAGATGGAACGGCTGATCAAGAAGTTGTCTATGACCTGTAGGTCTCACCTGGATGAAGAGGCTGATAAGCAGAAGCAGAAAGAGCTTCAGGAAAAAATCAATGGGAAGGTAACACAGCACAGAGGAAGTTCATGCTGTGAACACAGCACAGTGTTTCTTCTTTCAGATGATGAAAGTTGGCCACTCTGCCTTGAATAATGCAAGTGTGTTTAGTGAAGCAAGTGAGTAGATAAGAAATAGGTAAAATCCTCTTAACTTCAGTTCTACAGACAAGATAGTGCATCTGGTTGCCACAAAATGTTAACTGAAAAACTGAATGAGAAGGCTGATGAAAGGGAAGCTAGCCTTAGGTCAGGCACAGTGTCCAAGTCTGTGCTCACAGCTGAGGGAATGCATAGGAGCAGCATTGACCTGGATTACAGTGGGAGCACAGAGCAGGCACTTGTGTTGCCACTGCAGGTGTGGAAACGAGAATACCCAAGGCTGAACTCACTGCTCCTGCTGGGCATGGTTTCTAATTAGATCAAAATGGAGTATAATACGGAGAGCGCTTGAGCCTTCATTCTTGCACTTTGCTGTTATTAAAGAGAGTGACCCCCATTAATCCTCTTGATATAAATTCTCATTATGTAAGTGACCCATATAGCACTGCAGATCTTTTTTCTCATTTTCATTTACTTTTGTATGTGTTTTTTAGATGACTCTACAAGAATATAACACAATTCACAATGATGAAGATGACGAGGAGTTTTTACAGCAGTACAGGAAGCAGCGAATGGAGGAGATGAGGCAGCAGCTCTACAATGGGCAGCAATTTAAACAGGTTTTTGAGATTACCAGTGGTGAGGCGTTTTTGGACACAGTTGATAAAGAGCATAAAAGCACACTGATCATGATCCATATTTATGAAGATGATATCCCTGGCACTGAATCCCTGCATGGCTGTATGATCTGCCTGGCTGCTGAGTATCCAACAGTGAAATTCTGCAGAGTGAAGAGTTCTCTCATTGGTGCCAGTGCTCGCTTCACCAACAATGCTCTGCCAGCTTTGCTGATCTATAAGGCAGGTGAGCTCATTGGCAATTTTGTGCGAATCACTGACCAGCTTGGAGAAGATTTTTTTGCTGTAGACCTGGAGGCTTTTCTGCAGGAATGTGGCTTGCTTCCAGAAAAAGATCTGGTGCTCCTGACTTCTATCCATAATCCGTCTGCATGTTACAGTGAAGACAGTGATCTGGAAATAGACTGAACCACTTACACCAAGGGCCAGTAGGTGTAGTTGTACAGTGGAGTGTTCTTGTGGTAGGGATTGTTCTCTTCCATAATGTGAGTATGTATTCCTCCCCTTCATGCACTTTGACTTTTGCCTGTTAAAAGTTTGTTAAAAATAATGTAAGGGATTCCTAACATTTTCTTAAAATAATTCAATAAAGTACACTCTAAAACAGTTTTGCTTTTATACAATTGAAATTATTTTACTAAGCATGAAGGGATGGGGGTGAAACCTTTGTGGACCATTAGCAACTTTTCCCTCTTCCTTCTGTAACAAATAACAAAGGCCTTTTTAAAATGATCCCAACAGCTGTTTCAGTTGCCCAGCAACAATGATGTGAATTCTCATTTCCCCAAAACCACAGGGTGACTCCCACTTCTGGACACAGAACAAAGCCATCCCGGTGCTGGCTGAGCTTTTTTGTCCCTTCATGAACATCATTGCTATTGAATGCAGCTCTTGTATATTTCACTTCCCTCCTGCAGCACCTTTGTCATTCCCATTTGCCAGTAATTGCACTTTTATTAAGGCATGTGTGTTTTGTTTTCCTCTTCTTACTTCAGAAATCAGATCATAATATGAGGAAGTAATTTTCCAGGCTTCCAGTGCTTTAAAGTTCACTCTGTCTCCAGCAAGCCTGATGCTGTGTCACTGGGAGACAACCTGGGCAGCACGAGAGGCAAATTTACAGTGAAGGTAAGTATGAAAACTGAGGATGCAGTGAGGTCAAGGCTTTACTGGCCAGAGGATGGTGTGGCTGAATTGCTCAGACAATGTACCCAGCACAAATGAGCAGGTTGAACGTGCACACTCTACACTTGGTTATCACTGAATTGTCTTCAACACTGCAACATGGTTGCTTTCTCTCCCAGTACTTTGCGTGTTACTTTTTAATTTTTAGGGAAGTAGACTATCATTGCCTGAACACATGACCCAATGTAATGCCAGGTTTAATGATTACATTTAATTGCAAGTTTCATGGAAGGCACTTGGGAACACCAGGAAGAGATGCATATGTCTCTGTGTAAGCACTAGGTTCTTAGTAAGAATGGATCTTAGTGTAGAAAAAATAATAATTTGTAATTGTATCTATTTGAACTGTGTTTTTAAAAGTAGTATAAGCAGAAAAATAAATAATTTGTAATTAAAAATGCAGAATTGGCACAAATTGCAGCTGTTTTAAGGAAACTGGCAGAAATCCAGATTTTAAAATGTGATAAGGGATTATTTCTTTTCATCTCAGAATTGTGGAAAAAAAAAACCATGAAAGTTATACAAAATAAAATCATTGAGTGTGGATATCAGCACATGTAACAAAAAAATCACAGTAGCTGTAGTTTATATTCAGGATGAGATTCAGTCAAGTCTATCGTGCAGGCAGGGTGCATGTTAATCATCATAACAAAACCTGGCTGGGAGAGGGTGTCAGGGAGAGCTGTCAGCTGCAGTTGCTTTGAAGTTTTATTTCTATAAAGTGTTTTTTTTCTGGTGCCTGTGGCAGCAAAACTGTAACAGGATCACAATGTCTCCTGTCGGGTGGCCTGCAGCAAGGTGACACCTGGGTGTTCATCTCCAGTGCTCAGGTGTATGGTAGGTGGTTTCCTTGCTAACAGCGAAAGGGGAAAGAAAGATCTGACTGCAGCTGGTCATTGATCTGGAAGAACACAAGCAGCACAAGGGGGAGAGGAGCAGAGAGAAGAGCTCCTGTCAGGCTGCTGCTCGTTGGCACCAGCAGCACAACTCGAGCAGCAGGGAGGCTGGCAGGGGTGAGAAGCAGCACTGGCCGTGCTGGGCTCTGCCCCCTGCTGGGCTGTCACACCCTTATCAATGGGTACAAAGCAGTGCTGGCAGCCTCTAACAGCTGCCAACCAGCAGGATGTTTGTGGTGTGATCACAACCAGCCGAGCTCGACCTGTGAGCCGGTGGCGCTGGGCAGTGGAGGCCACAGCAGGGTCAAGGGCACTCGTGCTCTGGAATGGAGCTCTGCTGGGTGGGGACACCAGGGTCATGGTCCTCAGGGGGGCCACAGCACAGAGCAGACCCCTGGGAGAGACCCCGCACTGCTGCCACAGGCTGTCAGCCAGTGTTGGTCATTTTAGTGCTGGCTTCCCACCAGGAGGTGAAGGAAAGCTGGGCAAAGGGAGCTGTGGGATGAGGAAAGGCTG